GAGTCCCCATCCCTGGAGGTATTTAAAAGACGTGTAGATGAGGCACTTAGGGACATGGTTTAGTGGGCATGGGGGTGTTGGGTCGACGGTTGGACTCGATGATCTTAGAGGTCTTTTCCAACCTTAATGATTCTATGATTCTATGAAATGGCCCCGTGCAAATCTGCTGACACCAAAGTGAAGACAACTGCAGAGCAAACTTTTGCAGCATGAGCATCGCCTTGCAGCAGCTTTCCTTGCCCAAAATCTCTTTAATTTGAAGAATGGCGAATTCCCCTCGTCCTTCAAGTGCTTAGACTGCGGTTAAAACTGGAAAGCCAGTCCCCAGCTCCTTTCTGCCCTAACCGGAGGAAGAGCTGACCACCAGTGGAGATCGATCCCCGTGTTTGCCTCGCTGGGCGCGTGCAAGCCGGGGTGCGTGATGTGGGCAAGGAACTGTTTTAATAGGAGCTATTAACTTCTGGATTTCCTTTTCCTTGTTTGCTCAAGCTCTCGGGTTGATGTTTACTCAACTGTTCTTGCTTTTAATAGTTTCGGTGGTGTTTGATGCTGTTGATAGGGGAACTGCTGCCATGGAGTTTGTTTTCTAAAGGAAGAAACTTGGGCGACTGTGCGTGCCCCGTGCTGGGGATTTGGGGATCGTGGGTCGCTCTCAGGGAAAAGGGGCCTCAGGGGACTTCCCTCCTGGTGGGGTTCAGGAAAACCAGCCGAAACCCAGCGGGTGCTCCTCCATGGGAAAAGCTGCTCCATGTGCTCACCTGCCCGCTCCTGCGCATTCCCTGCTCGTCCTCCAGATGCGGATGTGCCGGAGACCGGCTGCCTCATCCCCTCTGCTCCCGCATCACTTGTTTATTCAGGGTGTGCTGGCAGCGGCGTGCCGGGAGTCTCGTACGCCTGGTGCGGGCGCTGCCTCTCCGTTACTGCTCCTCCTTCCTTAGGGAAGCGCTTCCCGTGCAGCTGGCGCGAGTCATGCGGAGCCCTCCCAGCCAGGGAGACCTCTCGGATGCCGGCTCCTGCCCTTCTGCTGCAGCAAAAAGCACTTGCTGCTTACCAGAGGAAAATGAAGGAGCATTGGGGGGGTCTTGCGCCCGTCGGCCAGCAAAAAGCCCTTGCTGCTTCCCAGAGGAAAATGAAGGAGCACTGGGGGGGTCTTGCTGTGCCCCCCCCCCCGCCCCGTGCTCGTCCCGGGTTTGCGCTGCTGGCACAGGGTGCAGGTGAGGAGCACAGGCACCTGCTCTGCAAATAACCTTTTACCAAAGCAGCCGGGAACAGGAGCCTGAGGGTTATTAAGGCTTATTGTTGTTATTATTATTATTAAGGCTATTATCAAGACTTATTCCCCTCATCGCCCAGCATCCTGCCGCAGCCTCCCTCTTCCTCCAGGAGAGAAATTCAGGCGCAGAGCTGGGATCGGGCCGGTTCGCCCCTGCCTGGCATCGCCCCCACGGCACGAGCATTTCTTCCCGTTCATCACCCCCACCCCGAAGCGGGATGCCGGCCCGGCACTCGGAGCAGGATCCCAGCAGGATCCCAGCAACAGATTGGTACCGATGAGCTTTCGAGTGCTCTAAAAATACTGAGCGGAGAAAGCGGGGAGCGAAAAATGACTGAGATTCAGTGAAATCAAAGGCATAATTAACATGCAGCCCATGTGAGTGTATTTTTAGGGCCCTACAAAAAGGCTCTAAAACATTGAATTCACATCAGCACGCGAATGTTCCAGTTTAATGGGATCCTGGGGCCTGTGGGGAAGAAGTGAGAGATGCTTAATTGTCAGTGTTTGTGTTTTATTCATGACTGGACGTACTTAGCAAGCGAAAACTGATTTGCTGCGGGCTTCTCGCTGCTTGTGTGGCTTTAAACCTTATTCTGGCCAGGGCTGGCGTATGCTGAGACGGGCAATTGCCCGGTGTGCTGGAAGGGCCGGTTGTTCCCGGTGTTTGCATGAGCTGTGCTTGGAAAAGGGATTCTCGCCTCTCCTCCCATGGGGAGTTCCCTGCCAGGGCTGCCTTGGGGTGCTCAGCGCTTGCGTGGGCTCTGGGGGGGGGGGGTCGGGGACCGAAGAAAAAACCCCCGGGGGTAAATCAGGAACCGCATTCAGCCCAGGAGGTCCCTGAGTGCGGGTGGCCGGACACTGGGAGAGCACTGGGAGAAAGCTCGGATGCTTCCCGTCTCCTCCTGCCTTCCCCTCGTGCCCGAACCCGAGGGCCACGGGGCGGTTTGCTCAGAGATCGGTGCTGCTGCGGCAAAGCCAAGGTAGAAACCAGACTCCTTCCCCCATCGCTCCGGCACCCGACACCCACCGGAGCCACCCAGGCGCTGCCGAAACAGTGCAGCCAGACTCGCATGGAGCCTTGGGTGTGATGAATCCTCCGGCCTCTGTGGTGCCGGGCTCGCCCACGCCGTCGGCAGTGCCCACAGCTCAGGTAGCAATTCGAGGTCTGATTCTGCCCTCGGGGACCTGCATGCGGCCGTGGCCGTGGCCGGTAGCTGACTCACTGCCCGTCCTTAGGGAGGGATTGTGGAAGCGACTGCCTTTCCCATCGGAGCCGGATTCATGCGGCACCTTCCCCGCTCGGCTGCGCAGGTGGAAGAGGGATGAGCCGGCACCGCGGCACAGATGTGGTCCCTGCAGGCTCGGCGGGGGGGGACGGGACGGGCGGGGGAATCGCGGCACAGAGCGGCTCCAGATCGTCAGCGGGATGGTGGCTCGTTAGGGGGGGGTTTTTTTTTTTTAAATGTTGTGAAACGGTGTGCAGATGGCACAGCCGCCCGGCCGGAAGGAATGGAGGAACATGAGATGCCAAGGCAGGGCTCCTTATTTTAAACCGCTTCCCTTGCCAGAGAACAAATGTGCCTCACTTCAAAGTAATAATTATAAAGCCTGGGAGAGGATCCAGGGAACCCAAAATCCTTCTGTGGGTATCGGTGCGTTGGCTGAAGCGCTGCTTCGGTTGGCGTCGTGCTGCCTGCCCGACCCCGCAGGCAGCTGCCCGCATTGCCGGGGCTGTGGCTGTCATCCCAGCGGGTCATGGCCGGCTCCGCGACCTGCATTTGGGGTCGTGCTGTGATTTAAAAGGGGAAAACAAGTTCCCTCTTACCTTGCACCCCAAGGAATAGCCCTGCACCGGGAGGATACGTCCCGTCCCTGCTCCGTGCCTGGGAGCAGCCCTGCCTGCAGGGAAGGCAGGCGTTGCTGCAACCGGCCTTATAAAACCTCCCAGCTTGTTCCTGAGGCTGCAGGAGGGGGATAAGGAGCCGCTCCAATTGCACCCTCAAACCCGCTGAGCGCCAGCTCCCCTCCCTGTCCCCTGCGTCAGGGACACCCGGGGCCGGGCGCTGCGCTGCTGCCTCCTGCCAGAGCCTGGCACGCTGGGTGTAACGGCGCTCGGTGGGCAGGCTGCCGTCTGACGGGAGGTAAATGCCAGTGCCTACGTGCGCCCAGGATTAGCAGCTGCCACGGGAAGAGCTGGAGCCAGCGACAGCTTGTGTTGTGAGAACTGCCTGTGCTGCAGACGGCTGTCGTGGGGGCCTGGGGGTCCCCTCAGAGACACCCGGGGTGCCCAGAAGGCGGCTGCCACCCGTTGAACTGGGACTCGCTGTTATTTTCTGGCCTGAGATCAAGCAATGCCAGGGTATGTGGGCCTGGCGAAGCTGCGCTTTCCACTTTACAGCTTGGGAGCGTGGGGAAGAAGGAGGTTAGAAGGGGAAACTGAGGCACACAAAGAGTAAAGGATCCTGAAGAGTGCAGGGAGGGCTGGGAACTGGTCCCCAACTCCCGCAGGGGTGTCCTCCTGCAGAGAGCATCCTTCAGTCGCGTAGCCAACGTGTGTCTTGCTCTCTCCTCCTCCTCTCCAGGATTCCACGTGATCCCCTCGGTGTCCAGCATCGTTCCCGAGAGCTGCCTGCTCATCGTGGTGGGCCTTTTGGTTGGGGGGCTCATCAAAGGGGTGGGTGAAAAGCCCCCCATCCTCAAGTCGGACATCTTCTTCCTCTTCCTCCTCCCACCCATCATCTTGGATGCCGGCTATTTCCTCCCTTTGCGCCAATTCACCGAGAACCTGGGCACCATCCTCATCTTCGCCGTGGTGGGGACGCTCTGGAACGCCTTCTTCTTGGGTGGCCTGATGTACGCCGTGTGCCAGCTCGGCGGCCCCGGCCTGAACCACATCGGCCTCCTGGCCAACCTGCTCTTCGGCAGCATCATCTCGGCCGTGGACCCGGTGGCCGTGCTGGCCGTCTTTGAGGAGATCCACATCAACGAGCTGCTCCACATCTTGGTCTTCGGGGAGTCCCTCCTGAACGACGCCGTCACGGTCGTAAGTGGATGAGGGGGATCACCCAAGGGGATGGGGTTCGCTTCGGTGGAGCATCTGTGGGTGGTGGCGCCGGGACGGGCAGCTGTCAGTCAAGCCCTGCGGGCAGAGCCGTAGACTGGGCCGTTGCACGCTGCCAGGTGCCTCCTGCCAGCTGCGCTGCGGCAGCTCCGCTTGCTCCTAACCTTTTGTAGGTGCAAAGCTAAATATAGCGGCTTAAAACACCGCAGAGGTGGGTTAAGGTGAAGCGTTTTACTTGGTGGTTTGGGGAGGCCGAGAACACATCGCCAGCCAGCTACCACCTCTTGTTGAAGAGCAGGACTGTGCCCGGCGCCTTGATCTCCCGGGAATCAGCTCTCCCGGGTGAAATTGCTGCCCGCTGCCGTGCTCATGCCTGTCCCCCCAGGGAAGGCGAGCAGGAGCGCGGAGGGGCTGGCGCCGGGTCAGGCAGCGCTGCCGTGTATCTCCTGTCTCCTTCCTCATGGTCCCTGATGTGGTCTTCCTTGCTGTCCCCCAGCTGTAGCACCAAGGAGGCGTGAGGACAGGACACGGCCAGCCGTGGCAAGGGGAGAGCCGTGGGGGCTGCAGCCAAGCTGGCATCTGCCTGGGTCACCCCTCGGCCCCAATCTTTTGAGCAGCAGCTTTGCAGGGACCTTTGGGAAGTTCGGGGGCCAGGCCACCCCTCTCTGGGGCCATGCCATTTCCAAAGGACGTCTGTGTCCAGGTGCTGGCTTGGCCGTCAGCGCAGCATCCTCCTCTACAGAGCTGACCTCTAAATTTACTTCTAACCCACTGCTTTTTCCTGGCTCTTCTCCCATATCCCAGCTGTCCACTTCAGAGCTGGCTGCTCAGCACGCTGCAAAGGCTGACGAGGAACATACAGTCCCACCACAGGGCTTTTCCCAGGCACTTCCCCCCCACTCTTGGCCAGAGGGGCTCCCTGCAGGGTCTTTGTCCCCGCTCCCATCCCTGACGAATGCTTTTGCCTTCTGCTGTCACGTCTGTCCCTGCCCGTGTCCCAGGACCCGGCCCTGGCAGGCAGGAGCTGGCACCTCGCCCTCTCTCTGCTTGCAAGCGCTGCCATCCCTGCAGGATGCCACGAAGCCCATTTCCCATCCTGACATGGCTGCGTCGGCTTCTGCTTTAAAATCTCCCCAGTAAATGTGTCTGGAGGTGGGAGAAGGTGATGCAGCCCGGGGTGGGCTCCTCTTCGAGGTTGCCCTTTTGGCTACAAAATGGCATAAGGGTTTAGGTTGTTCTCTGGGCTGAGCAGGGCAGATGTCTCTCCATGCGGCTGTCAGGTGTCCCCCAGCCTGGATCTGTCCTGACCTGCTCGTTGGGAAGCAGGAACAGTCTCTGGCTGGTTCAGACCTTGACCGAAGCCCCTCCTGGGACAGCGGTTGGGGCTGTGTTGGAGAGCAGAGCTGTCCCAGGCACATCTCCGATGGCAGCATGTCCCTGCGAGCCACAGAGGATGGGGAGCTGGTCTCTACGGGTCTGTGTCTTGCACAGCAAAGCACCACCAGCTTTTTTTGGCATGAGGCTTGGTCAAGCACAGGACCCAGCTCAGGGTCACCAAGCACCGGCACATCTCGTCTCAGGTGTGCCGTGCTGGGTACCTGCCTGGCTCCCTTTGCTGCTGCTCTCCCAAGGAAGGTCCCCGAGCAGGTCTCCTCCCAGGGGAGGCTATCTCTTGCCACTGGGGCAGTTTGAACCCCCCTCTCCCTTCTCCCTCCCAGGTCCTGTACCACCTCTTCGAGGAGTTTGCCAACTTCGAGCAGGTGACCATTATCGATATCATCCTCGGCTTCCTCAGCTTCTTCGTGGTGTCGCTGGGCGGTGTCTTCGTTGGCGTCATTTATGGGGTGATCGCTGCCTTCACGTCCCGCTTCACCTCTCACATCCGAGTCATCGAGCCCCTCTTCGTCTTCCTCTACAGCTACATGGCGTATCTCTCTGCTGAGCTCTTCCACCTCTCCGGCATCATGGCGTGAGTTGGGCAAGGGTGGGATGAGATGCCCTCCTGTCCCCAGGACCATCTGGAGGATTTACTCTGGTGTAACCGCAGCCCGCTGGCTGTCCCGGCATGGCCAGTACATGCCCAGTGAGGGCCAGAGGTGTGTTTGGACTGGGATATGCAGGGAGGTAGATGAGGGAAGTGACTCTACTGAGTTGTCCCGCAGATCCCGGGGTGCTGGCAGCCCATTGCCCCTTCTCCTGGGCACACAGTAGCAGGCAGGGCCTGCTGAGCACTCAAGACGACACGGTCTTGTGCTGCCTGGCTCCAGTGCTCACTCCTGCCCTGCCAGGGGGAAGGAGAAACCTCATGTTGCCTTCTCTGGAGGCCTTGAATAATTGCTCGTGTCTCAGAAGCCCTGTCCTGCTCTGAGGTTTGGTGTAAGAGCACAAAACGCTGCCGCAGGGCCAGTGGTTGGGGCTGTCCCCATGTCCCCATGGCTGCTGAGTGCCCCAACCTTGCCCTTAGGCTCATCGCCTCCGGCGTGGTCATGCGGCCCTATGTGGAAGCCAACATCTCCCACAAATCCCACACCACCATCAAGTATTTCCTTAAGATGTGGAGCAGCGTGAGCGAGACCCTCATCTTCATCTTCCTGGGCGTCTCCACCGTGGCTGGCCACCACTACTGGAACTGGACCTTTGTCATCAGCACGCTGCTCTTCTGCCTCATCGCAAGAGTTTTGGGTGAGGTGTCAGTGTGGTGGCAAAGTCCTTGGGGACGGTCATGAGCGATGGGCAACTCTCAGGGCCACGAGGCCCAAGTTTGCCTTGCTGGGGAGACTGGAGTTGACTGGGTGGCACTGCTGCACCGTGGGCATCAGCCTTGCTGGTGGTTGGCTTTGTGGGGAGATGGGGTTGAGGCCAAGTTTGTGCTAGATGTGGGGTTGAAGCTGGTGAGGAGTGTTGGGATGAGCGAGCAGGACAGCACCCACCTGTACCCATGGCCCCGAGGGCGTGACACTGCGCTGGGCTGCAAGCCGGGCTCCTGGGGGGGTCTTCTTCAGGGCTGGAGGGCATCCTTCACCGGCCGCTCACACGAGGCCCTGCCTCGCTCCCCCAGGTGTCCTGGTCCTCACCTGGTTCATCAACAAGTTCCGAATTGTGAAGCTGACGCCGAAGGACCAGTTCATCATCGCCTATGGGGGCCTGCGGGGAGCCATCGCCTTCTCCCTCTGTTATCTCCTGGACTATAAGCATTTTGGCATGAGGGACATGTTCCTCACAGCCATCATCACGGTCATCTTCTTCACAGTCTTTGTGCAGGTTGGTGGCACACAGGTGGTCACAGTGCGGTTTCAGAGGGAAAGGGGGTTATTCAGTGAGCCTCGTGTGTGTGGAGAGTGAGGAGCACGTCCCCAGCCTCCATCCCTGACCCTGTCACTGTCCCCCTTCTCCAAAAGCTCTTGAGGCTGCCAAGTGACACCGGCGGTGCGGAGCCCCATGGTTCGGCTGTGCTGAACCCGTCCCGCTCCCACCGGTGTGCCTCGGGGAGAGGTCTGATCCACCCTCCCCATTCCCTAGGGCATGACCATCCGGCCCTTGGTGGACCTGCTGGCCGTGAAGAAGAAGCAAGAGACAAAACGCTCCATCAACGAAGAGATCCACACGCAGGTAACCCGCTGCGCCCGGCTGGCCCTTCCCGCGCGCTTCTCTTCGCCGCCTTAGCCCTCTTCTCTCTCTGCTTCTGCCACCTCCACCGCTGTAACCGGGCGGGTTTACAGAGCGGGAGCTGCCCTTAAATCAGTGCCCAAGGTAAGGGGGGACGGAGCGAGGGCTCTCCCCCATCTGTGTCGCCCAGTGCCCGCTCTGACCCAGACCCCCCCTGTGCCCGGTAGAGCAGCGGCCCGGTTGCGTAGGACCGTGCTGCCCTCCTGAGGCCCATCCTGGACCCACAGCCCTGATTTTGCACCCCCTGAACGCCCTCACCCCTGTGTCAGCGGGGGTGTCGGGGTGGGGAGAGGGTGGGCGTCAGCCCTGTGAGCTGCCTACGCCTTGGACCTTCTCTTCCAGTTCTTGGATCACCTTCTGACGGGGATCGAGGATATCTGTGGTCACTACGGGCATCACCACTGGAAGGACAAGTGAGTGTGAAGGTTTGGTGACTCGGGGGACCTGTGGGGGAGATGGGGAAGGGTTTGAATCGTCACCTGGCAGGTTTTCCAGCCCTGTGCTGGATTTTTCCCCGGGCTGTAATATCCACACACACACACACGCTCCCCTCGATGAATTACGGCCCTGGCTTGGGTGCGAGTGGGGCTGCAGGGCCGCACCCCTTCACCACGCCACCCACGGCGTGCCCACAGCAGTGTGGGAGCTGCCGGTGGCTGGGCCCTGCAAGAGCTCAGGACCATCCGTTGTGGGTGCAAGCAGCTGCTGGGTGTTTCGGAGGCTGCCTGGCTCGGGAGGGAGTCGGGGAAGTTCTGGCCTGACCTGCGCTGGTGGGAACTGAACCATCTTCTGCTGGCCTGGGCCAGGGATGGGGAGCTGGGAGTGGGTTCCGGGGCAGTGGGAGGTCTGATACATCGCTGCTCCTCCTTTCCCCACATCCTCGGGAAGGCTGAATCGCTTCAACAAGAAGTACGTGAAGAAGTGCCTGATTGCGGGGGAGCGGTCCAAGGAGCCCCAGCTCATCGCTTTCTATCACAAGATGGAGATGAAGCAGGCAATCGAGCTGGTGGAGAGCGGGGGCATAGGCAAGATCCCCTCCGCTGTTTCCACCGTCTCCATCCAGTGAGTTCCCCGGCCGTGGCCACCCTGTGCCTCCGACAGGCGCCTGGCGTAGGCTGAGCGCTCCCCGCTAGTGGCCTCAGGGCAAGCAGCCGTTCGGTCCTGCCGTGGCCGTCGCAGTGTCGCTCTGAATCCTGTCTGTCCCCGCAGGAACATCAACCCCAAGACCCTCCCCGTGGAGCGCATCCTTCCGGCCCTGTCCAAAGACAAGGAGGAAGAGATCCGGAAAATCCTTCGCAACAACCTGCAGAAAACCAGGCAGAGGGTAAGGTGTCCCCCGGCACCGTGCGTTGCCCCTTTTGCTTCCCTGGGGGTGGCCAGGACCACTTCCAACCAGAAGCCCTCAGGGCCAGCTGGGCCCTTCACCCCCGGTGTCCCTGCCAGGCTGCCCCTCGTGTTCCTGGTCCGGCTCTCCCTCCCCGGGAGGCTTTTCCTCCTGGGGTGGTGCTGGGGTAGTGCTGAGGGGGAGGCTGGCTCGGTCGGTGGCTGAGCCCGGCGTTTAAACCCTTGCCGGGCCAAGGTGAGTCAAGATCAGGCATCCCATGGTAGCACACAAGGGACGAGGCACCAGCTTGCCTGGATGCGCTCTGCCCACTGGTGGCTGTTTCATCCGTCTCCAAGAGAAAGGGTGCCGTGACCTTCCTTTGCCTTTCTGTGTGGGGTTTTTTTTTTTAACCCGTCTCCTTTTCTTGGGGCCTTTTCCCAGTTGCGATCCTACAACCGGCACACGCTTGTGGCCGACCCTTACGAGGAAGCCTGGAACCAGATGCTCCTGCGGAGGCAGAAGGCCCGGCAGCTGGAACAGAAGGTGTCAAGGGGACGCTGGAGCCAGGGATGCTGGGGAGGAGGGGGGGCCGAGGGGGGCTTCCCAGCCTGGGAAGGACATCGGTCTCCTGCATGGGGAGGGGGCTGAGGTTCAGATGACAGTGGGTGACCCCAAGCCTTGGGGGTCCTCTGATCGCCCCAGGCTCTGAGCAAGTCCTTGCAGCACGGCTGGGAGGATGCGTGCACGTGTCCTCTGCGTCCCACTGCTGCTTCTCGCTCATCCCCGCGGCCTGGGGTCAATTCCCTGCCTCCCCTTCCCCATTTATCCCAGCCACTCCCGTAGAGACAGTCCCTCATGCTGCCATCCAATTCCAGATGAACAACTACCTGACAGTGCCGGCTCACAAGCTCGATTCGCCCACCATGTCCCGGGCTCGCATAGGCTCAGGTAGGTGGGACTGAGCTGCTGGGGGAGCGCCGCTGCCGGCACCTCGCCGGGCATCGCCGGCACTTTGGTGCTGAGGCGCTCGGGGGTTGTGTTGCCCTGCACCTCCTCAGCTCCTCTGCCGCCTCTCCAGCCCCGATCGTCCCCGTCCCGCTCCCCCGTGTGCGATGCAGCCCAGCCCCAGGGGTTTGCTGTTCTCGAGCCCAAGCTCTGCTGCCTGCGGCCCAGGCACGTGGTGGGCTCTGCCTGAGCAGAAGCACCCGGCTCGCTTCCCGGCACGGTTCCCACCGGGAAGTGAGCTTGGCCGGTCGGTAGATCTGTCCAGAGCTCAGCTCGCTCCATCCACACAGCCACGTTTCTGGCCGTGCCCCTCCCCGCCCTCTGCAGGGGAGAGGACCAGGAGCGCTCAGCCCTGAGACCTGCCCCTGGACTCCCGGCTTCTCCAGCACGCATTTGCCCTGCCATCTTTGGTTCCTCCTGTCCTGTGTGTCCTTCCCTGCTTTGGGGACAGTGTGACGGGGTGTGACGGGGTGTGACGGGGTGTGACGCTGCTGCCGGCGCTTGCGGAGCCGGCGGTTAATCGGCAGAGGGCAGCTTTGCCCCTTGCAAACGGCGCGGTCCTGGGAAGCAGGGCTGGGCTGTCTGGAGCGGCTCCAGATGGGGCGTGGAGATGAAAAAAAAAGGGATTAAACAGCAGACTTGGAAATTAGGGAGCGAGCGAGCCCAGGCATCCCAGCCCCGGACATCTGGGGTGCATGACCTGGGGGTCCCTGAGACCCCCCTCTCCCTTCCCCGGGTTATCCTGACCCACTTTGTTCATGATACCGCGCGATGGGCCCTGCCTGACCCATCTCTGCCTCCCCAGACCCGCTGGCCTACGAACCCAAGGCGGACTCGGAGAATCTGCCCATCATCACCATCGACCCAGCCTCCCCGCAGTCCCCGGAGTCCGTGGACCTGATGAACGAGGAGCCCAAGGGCTGCGGGGGCCTCCCGCCCTCGCCCGAGGAGGACGAGGAGGGGCTGGTGATGAGGGTGAAGGAGCCTTCCTCCCCGGGGACCGACGACGTCTTCACCCCGGGGACCGGCGACAGCCCCAGCAACCAGCGGATGCTGCGATGCCTGAGCGACCCGGGGCCTCGGCCGGAGCCGGAGGAGGGGGAACCCTTCATCCCCAAGGGGCAGTAGCAGCTGACACGCGAAGCCTCACGCGATGCTCCGTACGGTTTCTCTCTCTCTTCATTTGTTCTTCTTTCTTTGCTCTCCTTTTTGGTTTCCTCTGTCACTACACACCGGGTTTGGGAAGGGGAGACCGTCCTGGATGGACTGGGATTGCCAGGACAGCTCTGCCCAGCAAGCCCTGGGCTGACCCCGAGGAGCGGGGAAGGAGCCCCCGGGATGCACCGGGCTCCTCAGCCGCCGTGGCCTGGGGGCGACGGACGATTTACCGCCCGGTACTGGGATTTGCAGGTGCCTCGCAGCCCCGGTGGGGCTTTCCCGGAGGCTGCCCACCCGCTCAGGACCTGCAAGCGGCTCCTCGGGGCGGCTGCGGCCGGCGCGGGGTGGGCTCTGGCCGGGGAGCTGGGAGCATCCGCGGAGGCTGCCCCACGGCGCAGCTTCGCCGCTTCCCGGCTTGCGTTTTGCCTGCTCCCTCGCCTTGCTCCGGAGCGGAGGGATGGGAAGACGGGAGCCAGGCTCTGCGCCGGGGCTGGCGCGCCCACCACCTCACCCAGCACCCTCCAAGGGACCTCGGGCTCGTGCCGCTGCTCCCTCTCTTGGCCGCTTCCCCTACGGGGCCGGCTGCCGCCCAGGAACCTCTCCTCCAGCCCTGCATTTCACGCCAGGTCTTGTTAAATAAATATCCTATAGCCATGCAAGGGGGGAGCCGGGTCCCCCC